CACACACACACACACACACACACACACACACACACACACACACACATACACACACACACACACACACACGAACATTCTAGCTCACACCAATAGAGAAGACAAGCGAAGGCCGCCGCAAGGTGGCGCTGTACTCACGGTATGACGACGCGCTGCCAGGGCCCGAGGAGCTTCGACCCCTCCCAGAAGCAGTCGAGTGGACCGACCATCACACACGGAAACAGCTTCTCCAATATCTGCCGGCGAGAAAAACACAAGCACGCTGAAACTTTTAGCGCGCGTAAAAAAACCGCACGCGAGCGCGCGCGGCGTAAGGGCGCCAAGCACGCGTACGCGTGTTGCATGCAACAATCAGCGGCCGCAAAATGTTGTACGAAATGGAGCGGTGTTGTTGCGATGCTCGCCCACTATACATGCGATTTGCACGCGGATATTTGTGCGAGTAAGAAAGGAAAGGTAGAAAGAAGAAAAACGCCAACGTGCTTGCATAAAGTCGTTACTCGTTAGTGTAAAGTTGTAAACCCAGCATAAGAAATGTGCATCTGAAAGCCATTACTTCCCGGGAGTGGTGCGCATTCAGAACATTTTGCAACGTTGCATAGTGCAACATTTTGCACGCGCCAGGATTAAGATAAACACCTATATGTGTGGTGCCGTGCTCTCGTACACACCGACAGGTACGCACGCGCACACACGCACGCACGCACCCATGTACGCACGCATGTACGCACGCACACACATGTGCATGTGCAAGCACGCAGGCACGCATGCACGCCCACAATCGCGCGCGCACATGTACACACACGCACGCACGCACGCACGCACGCACGCACGCACGCACGCACGTATGCCCATGCACGCGCGCACGTACACGCACCTCGCCGCCTTCATCAATGGACGGCGCAATCTCTCAATGACGCCAGGCTACTGTGTGCGTGCGCTACCGTCAGCACGTGCATGCCTGCCTGCCTGCCTGCTACGCGCCCCCGACGACCAACCAGCTACACGGCTACACGAGCCAGCAGCAGCCAGGCAGGCAGGCATGCTCGCTGATCGGCTGCTCCCGCCCGCACGCACGCACGCACGCACGCACGCGGTCCGTCACAGCTTTTATTGAATTTAAATTTCTCGAACAATATAAAGTTATTTTTATTTTTATTAATTAATTTGAAATGTTTTAAATGATTTAAAATTGTGTATTTGAAATGTTTGAAAATGATTTTTGAAGGCGATGGCTTTCCATACGGTCCGTCACAGCTTCCCCTCCTATTACTTACATTATCCATCACGTAATCTCCGAAAGCTGGCGCAGGAGGAGCATAGCATATATCCGTCAACTTCCAAGTTCTGCGAGCAAAAAAATAGAGAGAGAGAGAGCGTCAAAACACGTTACAGACGAACAATCGTAGCAGTAAGCAAGGGTCACTTCATCACTCACAGCCTCATCCTAACTAATCAATCAACAGTATACCAATCATGACATTTAAATTCAATTCAATTAAAATTCAAAATTATCGTAATAATGACGAGAAATTTCAGCAGTCGTTGCCACAGTGATAATCATCAGCCAGTTGATGAAAGACTGATAACGGGAGAAGAAAAAGAAGAAGGACCCCCCTTAAGACAAATCGGTCTTAGCCTTTAAAATTATTCACGAACTCAAAAGATAGTTTTATCTTCGAAAATAATCCTATACTGTTAAAAGATAAACGTGAACAGCATAAACATCCGATATTACAATATTACCAGGAGTGATTAATCATAGATTATATAT